CAACAACAACAAAAAAAACTTACGACTGAAAACATCCCTCAGGAACCTACAGAATAAGAAAATGTCTTCAAAAGCACTTCAGCCTGTCATTCCCTCACCTGACAAGACTTCTTTTCCACTTTTTCCCCACCATCCAGTGGATCTTCTTGCTTCAGTGGAGGATCATATAGTTTGGTTTCTTTATCACCTGCTTTCAAAGGAAATCACAGGATTAGAATGTTAATGATGAGGCCAAAGCACCATYCTAGAACTCAGGAGAAGCCCTGGGGATTCAGGGTCTATAGCCTTCTGAAGGATGAGGAAAATGTAGTTTGCAGAGATACACAGGGAAGCAGCCCTGTGAAACAGAACAAAGTAATGACTTTTTGCCTTGGTCGACTAGAGAACACAAGTATGTGCATAGGAAATAAACATTTTGAATCCTAATCTCAAAGTCATACTAAGTCATTTGAAGTCTCCACACATACAGAAAGGAAGAATTAGCTTTCAGAATTTTAGTCACATAGGAAAACTGTTCATTTATTCGAATGACTGACTGCTATTGTTTTCTAGCACCACATTCCAACCCAGGTTCCTGAATAGATTTTCACTATGGCCCTTATTCCTGCATGAATTCAATACTCATTATCTTTGTCTACTGAAACTAAGCCACATGAGTACAATGTGTAAGCAGTTGTTCTAATAGTATTCAGGAATCAAAAGTCAATCGTTTTCCTGGAGTTTTAATATTTACTTCTTCATACTGTATCAGAAATGTTCTACAAATGTTTATCCGTTTGTTCAAAAAACATTTTTTTCCTTTTACTTTCTTGGTATCAGGGATTGAACCCAGGGTGCTTAACCACTGTATCACATCCCCAGGCCCGCCCCCCCCGTTTTTTTTTTTTTAAAGAAACAGTGAGAGAGAGAGTGAGAGAGAGAGAGAGTGTGTGTGTGTGTGTGAGAGAGAGAGAGAGAGAGAGAGAGAATTTTTTAATATTTATTTTTTACTTCTCGGCGGACACAACATCTTTGTCTGTATGTGGTGCTGAGGATCGAACCCAGGCCGCACGCATGCCAGGCGAGCGCGCTACCGCTTGAGCCACATCCCCAGCCCCCCTTTTTGTTTTTTAAACTCTAGATGGATTATATATAAAATCCATATAAACTACAGCACTATTAAGAATCTGAAAACAGGGCTTGGATTGTGGCTCAGTGGTAGAGCGCTTGCCTAGCACGTGTGAGGCCCTGGGTTCACACCATATAAAAATAAAATACAGACATTGTGTCCAAYTACAACTAAAAAAAGAAAGAAAAGGAAAAAGAATAAAAAAGAAAATCTGAAAACAGGTGAAACTTAGAATGGGAAAAGATGACTATGATTAGTAATGAAAAGGCAGATAAATCTACAAAAACTTCCTGATTTTGCAGTTTAAAAATGAAAATCTCTGTGAACAAATGAAAAACATACAAAAAAAACTTATCAAAACACAAAATGAAAAACTTAGGTGGAAAAACCTTCAAACTTATTTCACATAGGGCTACTTTATGTATACACAGTTTCTAGAAGACATTCCTTAAAAAAGTTGGGGAGGGGCTGGGGTTGTGGCTCAGTGGTAGAGCACTCGCCTAGCCATGTGCAAGGCCCTGGGTTCCATCCTCAGCACCACATAAAAGTAAATAAATAAAATAAAGGTATTGTGTCAACTTACACCTAAAGAAAAATATTTTTTWAAAAAATTGGGGGAAAGGGTACGAACAGACAATTATGAAAAGATACCCAACACCTCACTTGTAATAAAGCAATATAAATTAAATCTCATTTATGTCTTTGGCAAAATATCMAATATTCAACACTAAAGTCTGACGCTGAGGTTCCAGGGGGAAAGACGCTAATGCACACTGTTGGTGGGGATATAAATACTTACCACCGGGCAATTCCTCTTGAAGAAATCAAGAGAGAGTCCTGCCTAAATACAAAATGACACATATTACTCATTACTTCATTGTTAGTAAGAGGAAAAGATCAGAAAGCCAAATGTTCAACAGGGGATTAACTGAATCAACTGTTACAACCACACTATGATACCTTACTCACACCATAGTTAAGAAGGGGAAGGAGATAATAAGAAAGAACATCTTGCCCCAGATGGTGGCCCACACCAGTAATTTCAGCTACTGAGAAGGCTGAGGCAAGAGAACTGCAAGTTTGAGACCATCCCGGGCAACTTAGGGAGACACCTGTCCCAAAATTAAAAAATAAAATAAAAAGGGGGTAGGAATATAACTCAGTGGTAGAGTACCCGTCTTCAATCTCCAGTACTAAGGGGGTTGGGAAGGGGGATGGACATCTTCAGGGTATAATTATTTTTTATTTTTAGTTGTAGATGGACACAACACATTTATTTATTTATTTATTTGGTGCTGAGAATTGAACCCAGTGCCTCACATGTGCAGGCAAGTACTCTACCACCAAGCCACAACCTAGCCCCAGAACTTTTAAGTGGAAAAAGTGAGGTATAAAGAGGTGACGATGGTATGCTACCCTATATGTAAAGAGAGTGGGGAATCGGAGAGAGGAATAAATGTGACCAAACAACAACAACAAMAAAAAATCCACTTGAAGGGTAAACAAGAAACAAACAACAAAAAAGTCAATAAACTATACTTACATGAGACAAAGAAGAATGTGATTAGAAGAGCAGAATATTTCTGTGAGATGTATTTTTGCTGAATCACAGAAATGTATTATTTTTTTAAGTAATCAAATTCTTTTAAAAAGCAGTCTCAACTTGAAAACAAATTGAAACAAATGAAGTTAACTGTATATTAATATAACTCCTCAGAGAAAGAATTGATTTCAAATGGCTTTAGAACAAAGAAGTTTTGAACTATATATCTCTAAGAGATACACTGACCAAAAAAAAAAAAAAAAGCCATAATGATTCAGTATGTTTATGGTTTACTACTGTCAGAATACTGTTATTTTGAAATCATTTTCTTCATTCTTCAGTAGTAGGTACTTATAACCTGCTTCAAATTTTAAATTTCAAAATACAATTAGGATCTAAGATAACAGAAAAAAATACTATGCCATTTAAGCTTAATTAGAAATATTAATATGGACTCATGATTTAAAATGGCCTTGAGCGGCTGGGGATGCAACTTAGTGATAGAACAACTGCTAAGCAGGCCCTGGCTTCCATCTCCAGCACCAAAAACAAACAAATAACAACCTTGAAACAACATTGCCTTGGTTCTTAAGGTTCTTACGCCATTCTCTAGAACTCCTTGGAGAAAGTGGTCAATTCCAGTCCAGGATACAATATAAACAAAGTAAACCTAGATTTCAATTACTTAAAGTTTTCAAGGATAAATGATGTCAATTCAAAATAAGACTAAAGCAGCAGCCACTGATTTCAACTGTGATGACACAAGCATAAAACACCCCCCCATACAAACCACTGGTGCTATTAGAACACACTAAATCTATACAATTTGAACCCATTAAGYCCTAGATTTCAATTCTGTAAATATTTTTTTTTTAAACTGATCAGGTGCACTAGAATAGTTTGAAAATCACAACCTAGAGTTTATTTTTAAAGATACACTATAATCCCAGTGTCTGGGTCTGAGGCAGAAGGATCACAAGTTCAAGGACAGACTCAGCAATTTAGTGAGACACTGTCTCAAAGTAAAAAATAAAGATAAAAAGGCCTAAAAATCTCAGTAGTAAAGCACTCCAGAACCCAACCAAAAAAAAGGGCAGTAAAAGATATATCCTGGACTGTAAAGTCAAAAAATGCCATACACATCATTAAATACCTTAAATTTTTTTAAAACATATTTTCTATACATATATGAAATGCTCAAATCACTCATCTACTTCTTTTCTCAAAAGAAATCTAAAAACATAACATTTATTTCAAAGTGACCATAGGTGGTATAACTGTTACCCAATTGAAGTTTTTTTATATAAGTATCCTATATATAGAATGATAGGATATAATGGGTTAAAATCATGTTTAGGGCGGGTATAGCCACTGGTAGAGCACTACCTAGAATGTGTGAGGTCCTAGGTTCAATATCCAGCTCTGCAAATAATACTGCTTAAAAAAGAAAAACCCAGGAAAAATTTGAGGTAACAATCARATAAATATAAAGACTAGAAAAAAATACTGTAAAATCACTTTACAAGCTCTACAGAAATTACTGACTCAGCCAAGGATCACTTACTGTTGCTAAAATCATCAGTTAAATGATTTATCAAAGTAAATCCCTAGACAAACATCTGATCATAAAGGGAAAAGTACAGTCAACAATGGTGGACCAGCCACAATAGTACACCTCTCCTGATACAATGCTATATGAAGTATTCAAGATCAACTCCTAGCCGGGTGCAGCGCATGCCTGTCATCCAGCGGTCTGGGAGAATGAGAAGGAGGACTGAAAGTTCAACACTAGACTCAGCAATGGCAGGAGGCACTTAGCAACTCGGCAAGACCCTGTCTTTAAAAACAAAATAGGGCTGGGGAAGTGGCTCAGTGGTTGAGTGCCCCCTGAGTTCAATCACGGGAGGGAGGGAGGGAAGAAGGGAAAGAGAGAAAGAGAGGAAGAGAGGAAGGAAGGAAGGAAGGAAGGAAGGAAGGAAGGAAGGAAGGA